ACATCCATGTTAGAGAGACACATCGATTGGTTACCTCCTGCAGGGCCCTGACCAGGGCCTCATATCAAGCATGTCATCGAGATATGTGCCCTTAACCAGAATTGAACTGGGACACTTCAGTCTGCATTACTGACGCTCTATCCATTGGGCTACGCTAGCGAGGACTATCTGGTTTTGGCTGAGAGGCCACTAACTTAGGGAAATTCTCATTCTCTGTTGCCAGGGAAACCTGCTATATTTATTTCTGATTATTTTAAGTGTCAGACAAGTAATGCAATAAATAACTGCAATGCATATAAAATTATATTTTTCTAAACGTCAACTTAATTTCATTCTCAAATTGCCATAATGCCAACTGGAGAAAAATAATCTCAGCCAGTTCAGATGAATTTTGGTCAGGATTTCCCCTGTTAACTCAGACATTATGTTTCTCTTCTTATATTTCGGACTGTATTTAAGTTTTGGAGGTGTTGGTGGCAGGGAGCAGCTGATTTTCTTACCTTCTCAGGTGGTATCCACTGATACCCCTGGTCAGGGCTGGCTCATACCAAGGCTCCTGGGCCCTCCCTGCCTACCTGCAGAGGCGACTGTGTGTGGTTCTCTTGGCCACGCCTGCTTCATTCAGTCTTGCCAGCAAGGAGAAACATTCTAAGGAAACATTCATCTGCAGGATTGCACCTGGACCACATGGATGCGGGGATCTCTGTGACACTTGCTGCCTCCCCAGCCTCCTCTTTAGACACAGGTCCCCTTTGTGTTCCAAAACTATTTCAGGTTTTTATTGGATAACTGACGTAGTGTGCAGACCTCATCCTTGAGGCCACACTAACATCTTACACTAATACCTTCGTTATTGCAGCCTCTTAAGCTTTCTTCTCAGCCCGGAATACATTTATCTTGTAGATGTGCGGTGGTGCATGGGTAGGAGTTAATTAGTTAATTAATTAATGGCTGGGAGTCCTTTCCATCTACAGTTAACACAACTTTCCTACTTAAAACCTACTAAAAATGCATGCTTTTGAAACCTAAAATTCCCTTTCTCACAAATCATTGTTTTTGAGCTTTACAGACAAGAATATTCTCTTCTGTTTAGCACCCATGTTTCTGCTGCGATAGCCATATCCTGAGTTGATTGGTGAACAAGTCACAGATTTATGATGCAACAACAAAACATAATGATTAATATATCAAAAGAGTAACGAACTCTGACTGGTTTCTTTTTCAATGACTGGGAAAGGATCAAAGGAGATGAATATGCAGGATAACTGGATTAGTGATTATTTATTCCCTTGGTTTATAAAAGCAGGAACTGTATATTTCAGAGAGAAAGGGAGAGGGAGAGATAGAAATATCAATGATGAGAGAGAATCACTGATTGGCTGCACACCCCCTACTGACTGAGCCCATGACCCAGGCACGTACTCTTGACCAGAATCGAACCTGGGACCCTTCAGTCCACAGGCCGATGCTCTATCCACTCAGCCAAACCAGCTAGGGCCCATAACCTTTTTTTGAGGGTTAAGTCAGATGTGGAACATTACTGATAAATAAAATTTCAAAAATATATTTTCTGTAACTGCTTTTTGATTGTGCAGCTTAACAAAGGCACTTAACTGAAGCAATACGGTTTTACATAGTTTTCACAAATTTGAATTTTGGGGAAGCTCTCTCAGATGAAGAGGCATTAGTAATTACAAAATGGACTAAATGTGAGGTTTGCCTTGGTTACTTGGGATAATTTCCTTACAGGGATAATTCTGATTCTTTACTTCAGACCTACATCAGCCTCCTTTTATTTTTCCAATGAAATCCGAACAATTTAACACACTGCTCAGGGACAACCATGACCTGACTGGACCTCACTGCTCCAGGCTTTGCCTTCACGCTGCCTTCATGAGTCTGGTCCTCAGGGCCCCTCTCACTTGCTGAACTTTTTGTGTCACAAACTACCACAACCTACTCCCTTCACCAGTGGCTCTCTCTTCCTCATCAATGAATGAACAGGCTACCTCTTTCATGCCGTGCTTCCTGCCTCTGCCCTACCTCCAGTCATAAGAAAACTCTGCACTCTCTCATTTCTTGTTTAAGGCTGCACTGATTGTGGATATTTGGATATTTGTGTAGTAAAAAGAGAACCAAGCCCCAGAGGAGAAGACTTGTAGTTTACCCTTTTTCAAATATCATAGCAAGGCCATTTCAGTACTCTGTATGTCAGGTCCGTCCGTGGAGTTCATATGTGCCCTTGCATTGTTTCCAGTGGGAGATTTTGGCCTCAAGTTTCCAATTCCTTGTGTACAGAAATCAAGTCTCAATTTCCAATAGTGTTTGTATGCAGTAAGTACTGTGAATCAAACTAGAATGACAGAGGAGAAACAACTTTATTGATAAACCCAGTAGGATAAATGGGGGAAATGATAGTAGGTTTAGTTATTTTATCTTACTAAATAAATGTTAATGTTAATAAATTTTATCTTCATTGGCAAGGGTTTGTTATGGAGTTCCCTTTCCCATCCCGGCACCTCAGCCAATAATTGTGATTTTCTTCTCTTATATCTGAAGAGTAAAAGTTTTAATATTCTTTATTTATAAAGTTTAGAGGAGATAATATGTGGTAGTTCACAGCAAAGAAAAGGACTGAATATTAGCTACTAATTCACGTTTCATTTAATAAGCTTCCGGATAAGCTCAGAAAGTCTTGCCAGGTAAACACCAAGGTATGTCACTTTATTTCAAGGGAGATAAAAATAACTCAGTTCCTTGACAATAATATAAATCTTTTCAATTTTTTTACCAAGTGGCATTTAGTGTTGTAGTTCAGAGCTATAGCTTCATGTTGGTAAAGATGATCTATTTCAGAAATGATAAAAATTACGCTTACCTCTCCTTTTCCTAGTCCATCACTTCTGCTATTCAATTATGTGCTCTTTGCTGGTGAATACCTGAAATAGTGAGAAAGAGTAAAAAAAAGAAAATTAAATATAACTCAAGAGCATTTTGTGAAAGGCAAATATTTACAATTTTAATTGATGACAGACACACACTTCATAAAACTATTAGCATGCAACTCCAGCTGCAAAAACTGAACATCAATATGCCTAAGCTGGTTAGCAGCAAAAAAGTAAACCAATCACATCGACAAAAGCCACCATAAACAAAAAAACTGTATTTAAAAGATTAACAGTTTTGGCATTCATCCCTACCATCAAGTCTTTCACTTTCTTTTTGGTTTTTTTTTTTTTCCATCAAAATTTAGCTTACGTTTGATGTTAGCAAGAGTTGCATTACTATTATTATTAATTTTAGTTCTGTTTATTACCTTGAGGGTTATATATTGTAAAATAATTTTGATGCCTCTAGTTAATGTTAATTAGTTGTTTTAATAACCTATAGACCTATTTGTTATGTTTTTGTAGGTTTACTTTTTTAACTATCAGGAACTTAATAACTGAGAATATTTAACATTACTGTTACATAGGCAAAATTACAGAGTTACTATTAGTGTTACCTGTTTAACGTTTAGTCATCCTTTGAGTCCTGCGACATATTTCCTTAATAATCATCAGCCATCAAGTCTGATAGTCTCAAAAGAAATATCAGCCCTCTAAACTGCCTTCAAGGGCGGTGATATTTAGCACTGAAAATTACAAATAAAGTTTTTGAGGTTGAATAGCAACAACTGGCCAGTGACACTGATGATTTGTTTGTCAAAAACAAATTGTTATAAACTACGCAAATGAAGTCCACGCACTCCTTTGAGTGAAAACAATAAAGTGAATCTACGCAATGCTTACATGTTGGATGGGATATTTAATGTGCGGGGAAACTCAAAGGTTGAAGAACTAGGCATTTAGACAGTGGTAAGTGGTAATCTTACCTCTTTATACTCCATTACTCTTTCTCACGAGAGACATGCTAATGCAAACAAGTCAATCAGAATTTGTGTTTAGCAAGATAAAGCTTAGAGGATAGTTTAAAATCCATTTATTATTCTAAATCCATTTTTCTCCATTAACAAGTTATACATTAGTGTTTACTAACCATGATTCATGTAACAGTTTAGTTTGTTAACTTTTAAATTATTTAACAACCATAAGTTATTAATACATTTTTAAGTATTACACAAATATCTTAAAACAGGCTTGGGTTCATTTTTGTAAATTTTAAATAGAAAACATTTTAGGCATCTCTTGAAGAAGAAATAAAGCAGACATTTAAAGCTAGAAAACAAGTAATTCCAAATTTAGTTTTTACAAAAGTTTTCAGCTTTATTGACAAATTATGGCAAACATATTTGACAAATTGTGGTTTCCTATTTAGAGAAGCTTACACATGGAACTTTATGTGTGTGTGTGTGTGTGTTTTTCTTTTTTAACAAATACAGGTTAAAACACTGAACAAATTCAGTTGGCTACATACATACAGTAGCTGCTTTTTTCCAACCCCATTAAAACAGCATTTAAAATTAAATTTACAAACTTAATATCGAACATCTTCATCTAACTAACAGATATTAAAAGACAGGTTAAAACATCTTATCTACAACTTTATTATCAGCCACTTCAAAAATCATGTTACAGTCTTTTAGCAACCCTAAACAAAATTTTTGCTAGTTGATTGAGATTCAAAACCCGTCAACAGATTCATGCTGTTTCTTAAAAGAATAAAGAAAAAGAAAAAGAAAAGAAAAAAGAAAAAAAAAAAAAAAGAAGATTACACACAACAATGAAAAACAACCAAGAGAATATCATCCTACTGAATGGTTTGTAGAGAATGCTTGCCAATGTCTCTTTTAGTCCATTTAAAAAATTAATACTAATGTCAATGTCACGCCAACAGTATAGAGGAAATACAAGAAATATATGGGAGTAATCATAAAGGAGTTATCCCTATAATAAGGAAAAAAAAAAAAAAAAAGGACTATTACTTGTCTTGTTGCTGTTTATGTGGAGACCAGAGGCTATGAATTGTCTTTGAGGTGAGCTCACAGGTGAGGAGGACCTTCAATATCTACCATAGGGGTGATCCCTGTATACCCCTCTGGCTGACCTTGATGGTGGTGCCTTCAGGCTGGAGCGGGTGGTGGCCCATTCTTCGGGGGCTATGAACAAGAGAAAAACAGTAACATTCACGTGGTTTCACAGGTATCAAACATGTTTAAGACACAAGAGTCAACCCGAGAAAAGAGAATGCAAGATCTCAACACTGACAGCTCAAGCCTTATTATGGAAAATAGCGTTTGTAATGTTTATGCCCCCAAAAGAGAAATATGACCCCATCAAAGGGTATATAGTTTGAAATGCAGCCACTTGGAATTAAACTTGTAGGGCACTCTTTCAAAGGGAGAAAGTTGAAGTTCTTCAGTAACTTCACTTTTATTGTATTAAGTTTCTATACCACAAAGTAGAAAGAGAAGTATCATATTTAATCCTTTATAAAGACTCCTAAAAGAAATCAGGCTTAGAAAACTGGTAGTTCTTAGGCCTTGATTAACTTGAGAATCACCTGGGAGCTTAAAACAAAACAGAAAATGACTAATATATCCCTAACCAAATGACTAGAAAACTCTACAGGGTGTGGCCAGGGTTTGGTACTTTTAAAAAAATGTTTCCCTAGATAATTTTTATAGGGTTGGGTTAAGGTCCATAGTGCAAAACTGTTCTAGACCAGTGGTCCGCAAACTCATTAGGCAACAGAGCCAAATATCAACAGTACAACAATTGAAATTTCTTTTGAGAGCTGAAAACCAACTTCTGCACATGGGCCATGAAGTTTCAATTGCACTGTACATTCGCGCCCACACGTGGTATTTTGTGGAAGAGCCACACTGAAGAGGCTAAAGAGCCGCAGTTTGCCGACCACTGTTCTAGACAAAGTCAGAAATAATCAGGGTATGGAGAAGAATAAATTTTAAGGAGCAAAATTGGTTAAAAAAATTCATATTAATTTTTTTCCAAATAAAGAAGTAAGAAGATAAAGAGGTATTAATACTCTAGAAAACAACTTATTTACCGGTTCATCAGACTTTTAGAGACCTCAATGTTTTGGAACCTAGCCAACATGTAAAAAACAAGCAACTAAGCTTTTGAGCATTGTGGAAAATAGCATTTGTAATGTTGATGCCCACTGATGAGAAATATGACTCCATCAAAGGGCCAAAGACTTAATATTGGGTTTGTGGTGACTTATGTGATGCCAGAAACTAAATTATCTGGGTCTTTTGAACAGAATTCACTTTTTTTGAGTAAAGAGCAGATTTGATACATGAGACTATGGTGGGAGGAAGTATAAACATAAGAAAAAGGATTACTTTAAAGAGATGGTTGACAATGGTTGATACAAAAGATGGTGGTAATGGCAATATCACCAATGGCAGGCTGAGACAAACTGATATGGGGTATATACCCTCAGATAGTTCAAGTACCCTGAGAATATCTCTAGAAAAAACAGTAAGAAAAATGTAATTTGCACTCACTATACAATAGAGCATTGGATAACTATCTACAATATAGAAAAATAATTAAAAGTGTATCAGTGTAGAAATAAATAGCATTTAAATAGGTAAACACTGGATTTGTAAATATATCCTTCACCAAGAAATCTTTATTACAAATGATATCTGATGATAAATGAAACGTTATGTCTTTCACTATTTAAGATTCATGCTATGTTTAATTCAATATGTGACAGGGAGTAAAATAGAAGTGAGAATTTAAGTAAATAAGAGAAACGTTACCCTTACTCAGAACACAGACCACTTAGGTCAGGCAAACTGTGGTTTGTGAGCAAAATCTGGTCAGCTGCCTATTTTTATACATCAGGTTTTACTGGAACACAGGCCTGATTATTTACTAATGTGATCTAAGCTGGCTTCACTCTACAAAGGCAGCGCTGAGTGAATGTGACGCAGACCACACTGCCTGCAAAGCCTAAATTAGCTACAGTTTGGGTTTTTGCAGAAAAGGTTTACTGACTCTGTTCTGGATCCTGTTGACTTTTTTTTGGTGGAAGGTTGTGGGTGTTGGTCTTTGAGCTGTGATTTCCTGAGGGAGGACTTGACTCCAAGCTGCCAGAATTTCTCAACAGAGACATTTCAGAGAAGAATTTTATGTATGTACTTGACTGGAATTAAATAAAACTTTCTATGATGTACTAGAATGGAAAATGAATTTTTGCTTACAAGGTCATAAGTGCCTTCTTAGCTTTATGAAATAAAAGTTTTAGACTTTGAATAACCAATAATATGACCTCTAGTGGTAAAGTCTTCCCCATTTTTTTTTTTTTTAAACAAAGGTGATGTACCACGGTTTGCCTTATTTGTTCTAGATCAGTGGTTCTCAACCTTTCTAATGCTGCAACCCTTTAATACAGCTCCTCATGTTGTGGTGACCCCCAACTATAAAATTATTTCCGTTGCTACTTCATAACTGTAATTTTGCTACTGTTATGAATCATAATGTAAGCATCTGTGTTTTCTGATGGTCTTAGACGACCACAACATGAGGAACTGTATTAAAAGGGTCGTGGCATTAGAAAGGTTGAGAACCACTGTTCTAGAGTGTTAGAAATCCCAGGGTTGCAGTCATTAGGATTTAGGACAGAGTTAAGATAGGTTTTAAGTTTCCCCAGGTTATGGAAGTTTGGGATCCTTTCTCAGATGCTCTATGTTCTTGGTAGGTTCTGCAAAATAGTGAAACAACCTTGTGCAGAGTGACAGCAATACTGGCCACATCCACCCCCAGATCTGTCAGAACTTTTAAACTGGCGTCATCTTGGGAACTTGTCACAGAACATGTTTAACATGAACTAATTGATGTGGCTTTACTTGACTTTTAAAACTCTAGACACCTAATTGTTGGACTAAAACCTTTCACTTTTCAACTGTTGACCAAGATTGAAATGAGAAGTGTCACTGTTCGCAGCTATATGCCAAGTGCATGGAAAATATACAGTGCCTAATAGGGCTTGAATGCAATGAAGATTGCATGAATGAATGATTAAGGTAGAAAGAGCTTCCAAATGACAACCTTGAAAACAGTAACAACTAAGCTGAAGAAATTCAGCACGAATTTTAAAAGCTCTAAAACTAGAAATCTTAGAAATGAATTGAAGTGAGACTTCTTACTCAAGGGCTAATTAGCTATGTACCAAAAGTGTTCACTACTGGATTCAGTGAAACAGTCATGGTGAAATCCGATTATAAAATGGTGTAAAAACATTGTTTCATTGCACAAAAGTGTGGTCTTCTATAGTTTTCTTTATGGAAATTAATGCTATGCTCTTTCCTCCTTGAAAAGGCTAGGAAGAGGGGAAGTCCTAGAAGTCTACTGAAATTATAACCAGATAGTCAGCCAAAATGCATTTCTACCCAGGCAAAGTGAGTTTTAGAGATTCTTTACTATTAGTAGAGGAAATCAAGGATTTATTTAACTTAATTCAGGTCTTGGGTTCACTGTTTACATGTTCTCAATAATAGAAATTGAGATCAGGAAAATATTACTTTTATTTGTTCCAATTTCCATGGTCTATATTTTTCTAATATCATGGTGTTTATGCACAATATAGACACTCATATTATCATAGAGTAATACAAGCTAGCTTGTCTCAGTGAATGGATGGTCTGTGATCTGTACTGGATGTTTTTCCTTTGTCATCATGTAGTGTGTCATTGGCACTCACAGCTCTCCAGAAACTCTTGTATTTCTTCACTGTACAGGGTGGGGCAAAAGTAGGTTTACAGTTGTTCATCTAGCAAATAATACAATATTAATAAATAATAATATAAGAATAAACTCTTCTATTCTCACAACTGTAAACCTACTTTTTGCCCACCCTATAAATATTAGAAATAAAAATGATTCTTAAAAATCTAAATGAATTTTAATTTGAGTCCATCATGGAATGCTGCACATGGGAAAAATCCACACACAAGGAGAGAAATTTTATTATAAGGTTCTCATAGTGGGAATTCTCTAAAATTTGAAGTTATAAAGGACTAGGAATGCACTTAGAATCTGTTTGTCTGTCTTTGGGTTCTCCTATTTAACAGATGAGGTAGATTTAAAATATTTTAGGGCTACATGCAAATTTTGGAGTCCTGGCCAATTGTATGTATTCCCATGACATATTCTAGGATGTCAGTTAAAAGAAAAATCATTGCAGACAATGAAATTTAGAGATAAACTTTCTTTGTCCTCCTGAAAAACAATCAAGGAAGTAAATGCTCTCAATATCAGGATCATTGTAAGATGAGAAGCACTGGCTAGACTATGCATGTAAATTGAGCAAATAAATAAGTTATTACTTCAAGAAGGTGAAAAATAACTGTCTGCATAGTTTAAATTACTGGAATGGTTTACGGAATTGTGGATCTGGAAATAGCAAATTAGGATATGAGAAATGGAGCTTAAGTGCCTTGATCAAATTCCCACCATTTCTAGACTTCCTAATTCAGGTTTTAATGTATCATTTGTATATGAAATAAGGAAAGGGGACAAAGAAAGCATTTATAAAATAAGCTTTTTTTCTTTATTCTTTATAAAAGATCTCCAATATGCCAGTTGTTGTACTTAGGCCTGCATAAGAGGAGAGTTTAAGGAGCCTCAAGGAGATCACAGGACAAAGCTAACATGAAATTTAATAGATTACAACACAATTATAATTGATATTTGAAGAAAACACTGAAGAAAGTCTGGAGAAATCAGCTACTAATTTCCATCATTCAATTGAACTTGGACTGAAATCTAGCATTTATCCATCTCAAAGAAGTAATTTTCTGAGCAAATATGAATTCAGATGCAATTAAACTATTTAAGATTACTCATTTTATTTTTTAAAAATTATTTTTTATTAATTTTAGAGAGAGAGGAAAAAGAGAGAAAACATTGATGTTAGAGAGAAACATGCTTCCTGCAGGTTCCCTACTGGGGATCAGGCCCCCACAACCTGGGCATGTACTCTGCCCAGGAATCAAACCAGCAACCCTTTGGTGCATAGGATGACTCAATCAACTGAGCCACACTGGCCAGGGCAAGAATTCATTTTCTTTAAAAACTTTTCTGCATTAATTATTTTGTATCCTCTGGCCTTGATTTTTAAAGT